TTTAGTGTTATTGTTATCATTAAATCACATTGTTCAAGTCACAGAAAGAACTGGCAGAGCCTGTATCTGGAGGACGCCCTGCAGCAGATCTGTTAGAACTGTTACATCTGGGCTGAGCTTTTGTGAGGGATGATTCTTACTCTTACGTTGGAAGTGGACCCTTTGGAGAATTGGAAGAAAGCTGTGGACCCTCTCCCCACTAAAAGGCACATCTGCTCCCATGAAGCTTTGCATATTATTTCAGGGATTTCACAGACTCCTAGAAGCCTGGATTGTATGGAACCTGGTTGGACACAGCTGTTCCTTGCCAAGCATGGCTGAGAGAAGTTCCCACTGTTATCTCAGTTTATTATTCCAAGTGAAGACCTCAGCAGTGTGGTTTCAACCCTGGGGATAGCCTGTGTGTTTTAAGATACAAAGTGGCAATCTGCAGAATGGGTGGAGGAGGGAGGTCAGTGAAATGGTTTCATGGACAGGCAACCTCTGTAGTGGCACAGAGCTTGGTTTGATGCCCTGCTTTGTCACCATCTTGAAATGTGTAATTTTTTAGCAAAGAGCCCTGCATTTTCATTTTGTACTGGTCCCCACAAATTAAGTAGTTGGTCCAGGCAGAAAATAATAATCCTAGCTAGCATTTGAGGGTTTACTACAGGAGCAACAAACAGGCAGCACTGCTGGGACTAGAACTGAGGCTCTTTGGGTTCAACTGAGGTTCCATGGGTCTTAACCACTACATCATCATGCCTCCTTAATCAAGTGGACCAGTGAGACTGGAAAGGAAAGGAAAGGAATGAGCCCTATCTTTTTACTAGAACACTCTTCTCCCTCTCCTGCCTCTCCTTATTCCTGTTGTCTCAGCATCAATGGCACTTCCTCAAAGAGGTGTTGCCTGACCTCCAAATCTAGATTATGCCCCCTCCTTATTGTCTCTTATACCTTTCATTTTCCTTCAAGGCATTCATCAGAATTCCTAACTGTGTATTTATTTGTATGCTTGCTTGTTTTAATAACAGTCCCTCACCAGACTTTTCACACAATGAAGGCAGAGATTATATCTGTTTGATTCATCACCTTATCACCTACTGAGAGCTTGGCACCTAGTAGACAAACACAAAAAACCCAAACTTGGTGCCAAAGAGTGATTGTGACTCATGTTGACCTCCTGTGCTACAGAGTAAAACTGCTCCGTGGGGTTTCTTTGGCTATAATGTATAAGGAAGCAGACTGCCAGGCCTGTCTTCCATGGTGCTGTTGGGTGAGTTCGAGGCATCAGGCTTTAGGTTAGTAGTTGAGCACGAACCATTTGCAGCACCCAGGGACCTTTGCAATAAGAGGTATTTCATTAATACTAGTTTGGAGAGTACACAGAACGTGATGATGATCAGATGAGATAAGGAGATACTGAGGATGGCCCAGGGGTTCCCCCTTAAGAAGTTGGGACACAGGGTGGGGATGATTAAATGGATTTGGGATGTGTTACATTTGGGAGCAGCTAAGAGAAAGCAATCTTCTGCCAGTAAGCCTTTTATAATTCCCTGTCCTTTGCAGTCTTGGACTCATTATGAGCCAGAATCTACTTGATGGCAGTGGGTTTGGTTTTGTAGTCTGGCCTGTTGCAGCCTGGGCTGGGGACTGGTCCCAGCCCCCCGGGCAGACCTTCACCATCACTCTCCTCACAGGAGTGCCCTTGGGAGCTTGTCTGTTCCCTGGACTGTGAAGCTCCCTAGGGCCTCATTTTTAGATCCCAGGGTCCGCAGGAGTGTGTAGCACAGTTAGGGCTCAATAAAGGTCAATAGAAGGAAAGATGAAGGGAAGGAAACGTGGCCAAGCAAAAGAGGGAGATTCAAATGAGCGGCAGATCTAGGGGGAAGGAGTTGGAAGCCAAGGTTGGAACCCTGGGGCCCTAAGAGAGTAGACAGAGGACTGCTCCAGATACTAAGGACAGGCCCAAGTGCTTTATTCACATGACCACATTTCCTCTTTGCATCAATACTGAAGGAAACATTATTCTTACTTTGGTTAATGAGAAAACTGAGGTTCAGGGAGGTGATGTGATTTGCCCGAGGTCACACAGCAAGTGAGCAGTGAAGTCTTGGTTTGACCCAGAGTTGTCAGCCCCACAATCCGCACTCTTCCCCGTCACTCCCTGCCTCTCCTGGAACCTCCGCTCCTCCTTAGCCCTCCTCCCCTCTGCTCCCGCAGCTGCCCCGCCCCGCCCCTCCTTTCCCTCCCTTCCTTTAGGTGGCGGCGGCGGCGGAGCCACGTGGTGGGGCCGGGAAGCCGCGGCCACCGAGCGCCCGGGCGGCTGCCCCAGCTGGGCAGTACTGCGCTGCGCTCGGTGCCTGCGCTCGGCGCTCCCCGCCAGCCGCCCCGGGGCAGGAGGCGCGCCTGGCGGCCGGCGGGCCAGACAAAGGAGGCGCGGCGGGGCGAAACCAGAGCGCGGGCGGACGGACCATGGACTCGGAGCGCGGCTGGCCGGCCCCAGCTGTGAGGACCCGGCGCTCCCGGCCCCGGCCCTAGGTTCCCGTAACCGCCGCCCGGGGTGCCCAACGGGGAGACGCGGAGCCCGCGCGGCGCGGACGAGGCGGCGGCCACCGAGCAAGAGGGGGCGACGCGGCGGGCGGCCCGCGCGGCCCCCAGAATCATGGGCAAGTGCAGCGGGCGCTGCACGCTAGTCGCTTTCTGTTGCCTGCAGCTGGTGAGCGCCGGGCTTAAGGAGGCTGGGGCAGGGTGGGGCGCGGCGGGGCGGGGTCCCGGGGCGTGCGGGTGAGGTTGGGTGTCCGTGTCCGTGAGTGTGTGTATGTGGATGTGTGTGTGTGTGTGTGTGTTTGTATGTGTGGCTGCTGCAAGTGCCCGGGTGGGGGGTGGTTTGGAGTCACGGAGCGGACGGGCGGAGCCTGCTCCTGCTGGCCAGGCTGTCTCTTTGTGTGCGCTTCTTGCCGCGGTGCCCGGTGTTCCTCCGGTCCCTGAGTGCGTCCTGTGCGCGAGTCCCCAGCCCGCCCCTCCCCAGGGGCTCCGCGCGTCTGCCCCGTGCTGGATGAGTGGCCCCTTGTTGGGGATGTGCTGTGAGGCTCTGGCTCTCTGGGGCTGGGGGTGTGTCCGAAGCTGGTCAGTGGATCTGTGGAGGTCCTACCTTGTGTTTCCTTCTAGAGTGCTCCTTGCGTGAGTCCCCGCCGGGTCTCTAATTCTGGTCTCCGCCCTTGTGAGGGTTTCCCACAAAGTCTGTGCTCCTGTGTGTCCCTTACTGGGTTTCTTCTCAGTGTGTGTCTCTAGATCTCTGTTCATTTCAGATTCGCCTTCATCTGTGTGTTTTAGGATCTTAGACTTAAAGAACCCTTCACCTCTCCCTTGTGCTTTCTCTTCTTCCTTTCACCCTTCTGACGGGGCAGGCCTGGGAGTGGAGAGCCACCTCCCCTAAGAAGGTCATAGAAGCTGCCAGGTCATGACCCTGCAGGGCACTCGAACCCCCTCCCTGCTTTGGCTCCGGCCATTGTAACCATGGGTGTTACATCAGGCATGGTTCCACCAGAGCAGCAGAAGTGGGGACAAGCACACCATCTCCTCTGCCCTGTCTGGCACTGGTGGAACTGGGAACACTTGGGTGCCCTGGGACAATAGGAGCAGGTGAGGGCACTATGTCTGCCCCCAGTTTAGGGAACTCAGGATTTTGTCTCAGTGAGACCAGTGAAATGAATCTGGTTGAGGGAGACCAGCTCTGTCCCTCAGCTGAGGCCCTGATTTGGAAGGGCAAGTAAAGAGAAACCAGGGCCTCCTGCCTACCCTATAGCTGAGTCCCAACAAGTAAGGGCTTTGAAGTTGTACTTCTCTAGGTAGAGGTGCATGGGGACCGCCGTGGGCAGAACTCAGGTCTGAGCACAAGTTGGCAGAGCCTGAGCCTCCCTGGTGCCTGACTCCATGATCTGAGTCTCCACTCTGGCCACCTCCCCTCATTCCACCCCTGACCCCAAGGTGCATGTGCTACTGCAGAGCGAAGCTTCAGTCGGATGTGCAGACCAGCTCATTCATCTTGCTTCTCTCCGCTGGAGGACTCAAGCCCCAAACCTGCCATCCACAGGCCTGCTCTCCTGGACAGCCATAGGAACAGCCTGAGCTCTGATGATTATAGCTCTACCCCCAGCTCTGGGACATTGGGCAAGTGATTCCCTAGCTAGGCCACCACCTCAGTCTGCATCTCTCTAAATGCTCATCGGTGAGGAATGCAGAGGGAGGTAGTTAAGACCAGGTAGAATGGAAACTCCAGAAGGGCAGAGATTTTGTTTTGTTCCCTTTTAAATCCCCAGCAGCTGGAACAGTGCCTGGCATTCCATTAATATTCCCAGAATAAATGAATGAATCAGTTGTTTAGAAAGTCCTGGCTCATAGTAGAAATGCCCTTCTTTATCTACTTTGATAACATAAAATGCTAAGAAATGTTGAAACCTTTCAGAGGTGCCTTCCTGATCCTTTTTCTGCATTTGCTTATTTTGAAATTTTAAACTAGTTTTTTTCCTGTAATTAGAAAAGTAGTATACATGTATGGTAAAAATGAATAAATCAACAAATCATCAGACACCAGAAAACTATTAAGGTCCCTTCTCTTTATGCTCCATCCTACTCCCCAAAGATCAGCACTGTTAGCAGTTTGTCCCTTTACTCATTCTATTGATAATAGTAACACGGTTAGCTTTGCAGAACCCATACTGGGCACCAGGTGTTCTTGTAAGTGCTTCAGTATGAATTCATTTAGTCCTTGTCACCAGGTAAACCCAAACTCATTGCCATCAAGTCGATTCGGACTCACAGCAACCCCGTGTGTTACACATTAGAACTGAGTTCCATTGGGCTTTCTTGGCTATAATCTTTACAGAAGTGGAATGCCAGGACTTCCTTCCATGGTGCTGCTACAGGGATTTGAACCACCAACCTTTTGGTCAGTAGCCAGGCACAAGCTGTTCGCACTACTCGGGGACCTTATAATTATCCTATAAAGCTATTATTATTGTTATTGGCATTTTATAGATGAGTGGAGTAACTTGCCCCGAGTTCTACAGGTAGGGCTGATTGTGGAGTGGGTCCCTCCAGCTATTACTAACTCCCAGGAGCCCTGGCTGTCTGGCAGCTTCTGTAACTGTAATATGCGACTGGGATGCTGGAATCCATCAGCCTGAGGCAAGAAGGAAGCCTCAGTGTTCTCAATCAGCATAAAGAGACAGAGGAAGGAAAAAGGCTATGAAATGTTTTTCAGCTGAACACTTAAGAGGAGGAAGTGTATCATTTTTTTTTTTTAATCAAATGGGGTTTAAACATTACAACAAAACAGGCCAATTCTAAACAATCTTTTATAGTTGGGCTAGACTTGTTTTGTGTGATGGAGTACAGGGTGAGGCTATACTGGGGGCAGGGAAAGCAGTTGGGGATTTTGCCATTCAGGTGGACAAGTGTAGGGGGTAGTAGGTGGGACTCTGAAGTCTGACAGGACAGACCTAGGCTCTAGTCCCAGCTCTGTGACTTCCTAGCTGTGTGAGCCACAGTTTTGTTATCTGTTAAATAAAGATTACCAAACAGTTTATCAAAACAAGGTGATGAGGATTAAATGCATGTGGTGAATTGAGCACTGGGCCAGGCACAAAGTGAATGCAAAATAAAATACAGCTTTTTACTGTCTTTATCTTAATGATTTTATACCATGGGATACTGTCAGGAATTGTGGACCAGAGACATCTGGATGCCCCCTGACACTCCTTTGTGGGAAGCGGCAGGTAGTTGGAACTGAACAGAGAGGGAGGAGGCCTGGATTCAAGCCCAGCTCCGCCACTGACTCCTGTGAACTTGGGCAAACCTCTTCCCAGACGTAAACCAAAAAACCCATAGCCATCAAATTGATTCTGACTCATGGCGATCCCATGTGTTACAGTGTAAAACTGCTCCGTAGGGTTTTCTTGACTGTAATCTTAGAGAAGCAGATCACCAGGCCTTTCTTTCATGGTGCCACTGGGTGAATTCGAACCACCAACTTTTTGGTTAATAGCCAACCACAAACTGTTTGTGCCACTTAGGTACCTTTCTCCAGTGTCAAAAAAACTCACTGCCAATGAGTCAATCCCAACTCATGGTGACCCCTCCTTGGGTTTCCAAGGTGATAGCTAGATAGAAGTAGATTGCCCAACCTTCCTTCCAAGGAGTGACTGGTGGGTTTGAACCCCCAGCCTTCTGGTTAGCAGTCAAATGCCTTAGGCACTACACTACCAGAGCTCCCTAGTTTAGACCTCGGCTTTTCCATCTGTAAATTGGGAGGAACCATTGATCTGGCTCTGTGAAGCCCTGCCAGCTCTGCCCTCCTAGGACCTGGGATGATGTCTGAACTGTTGCATCTTGGTCTGCTTCCATTCTATAGATCGTCTTGTGGCCCTTGCTTTCCTGGGTTCTATTTGGTGTATTGTCTTGGCAACATTATTAATGCTATTCACTCTCTAATTAGTATGTGTTTCCCTTTTCCCTTCCCTTCCTTCTTGGTCCACCTCTTTCCAGAAACTTCACAGGCCACTCTGCTCTTCCTGTAAGAGGATGAACTGAGGTTTGCTCAAGAGAGTCGTCATCAGTTTCTTCATCATCACCATTATCACTCCCATTTCTGGAGTCCTGTGCTAAGCACTTTATATGCATCACCTCATTTAACCAAATGAGCTTACATATGTAGAGTGCTTGGCAAAGTGCCTGCTGCATGTTAAACGACCAATAAACCTTAGCTATTGTACTGTTTTTAATCTTCCTTCTTATTACTATTGTTATTCCACACAACAGGATAGATGCCTTTATTGTGCTCTTTTTCAGATGTGGAAACTGAGGCTCAGTGAGGTGACAGGTTGACTAAGATCACTGAGCTAGTCAGTGATGGAACCAGGGTGCTAGCACGTTTCTGTCTGCACAAAGAGCCATCCTGTCCTCTCTGCCCTGAGCTCTCTGCCATTCACCATTAACCAGCGTGTGACCTCAGAGAGGTCGGTTCACTATTCCAAGCCTCAGTTTCCTCGTCTGAAAGTGAAAGTGATGGTACCTCCCTCAATAGGACCATGCACAGTGCCTGGCACCGAGAATGAGGTGAGCACTCAGTGCCACCTCACTGCCACCTCACTGCCATGATTGTTCTTGTCCTAGCTCTGTGTGACCTTGGACACATGCAATCAGGCTGCTGGACCCGTTTCTCTGGACTGGCAGCAGCCAGGTGCCTAGCACGTAGTAGTCACTCAGAAAACGTTGGTTTTATTCTCTTCCCTTCTGGAAAGCTCTTTGCTTTTTGGAAGGTAGTGGGTGAGGGAGGAAATATGTTGCTGCCTGCTGAGCTGCAAGTAATGGTGTGAAACGTGGTCAACCTGATTGATGTCATTATTAGTAATAGTGATGGTGAAGACCGGAGGGAGACAGCTCTGGCAGGGGCCCGCGCTCCCAAGCAGCTGCGTCTGCAAGCTCTCGGCTTCCTCAGGAAGGTCTGGCTCTGTTCTGGGTGGTTGAGGTCTTTGGATCAGGCTGATTATAAAATGTCTATCTTAGACCCTTACAGTTCAGGAGCATGACACTAGCCAGGGCACCAACCCCTTTTCTTCTTTTTCTTTTTTTTCTTTTTGTGGTTTGGGTGAAAGTTTACAGAACAAATTAGCTCTCCATTCAACAATTTATACACATTTTGTTTCATGACATTAG